CGATGGCATCTGCTTCACCCCCGGATCACCAGTAAACTTTCCCAAAGTGGGGGTTTTGTCCACTTTATCCCATGTAGCTGTCCCGACACTCGCACTTTCAACGGAGCTCTCACTTTCACTTGACACATTTTGGGCAGCCCTGTGGCCCCCGTCACTGTCACTGTCACTGATAATGGCCTCGCTATCAGAAGACAAAGCAGTTGGCAAATCTGATAGCTCATCGGAGAACATATCTAATATTTCCTGTCCTCCGAGAGATCGCAACTGCTTTCGTCTCTGAGCCATGTTGAACTGGTAGCTGTGTGGTTCATACGTGCAAGCTTGGATTAGAACAAAGCCAATTTTGTTTAGGTTGTGACAGGAAATGACTCTGGTCGAGTTACTAGATAAGGCAGCAATCATTCCCGAGGTCATCTACGCAGTAGTTACGATTCAACGAAGCCACACAGCGATATATAGCGTTTTGCAACATAACGTGACCGTAGAGGGCCATATGGCCCGACCAGTCCGCAACGCTTCGAAACGTAGAGGGCCATATGGCCCCTCCGGTCCGCAATGTGTTAAGTTAAGCATAGTGTAGTTAAGTGATGTTACTTGTACACATTCCTACTGATCCAATTAGAAGGGGCCGCAATCAACAGAAGAGTTTGAGAAACGCTTGGAAAAGCTATAAAACATGAAGACATACTGTAACTCCCCACAGCAGAATTGCAGACCACATTTTCCACTGTTTGTACTGTGGAAAACCAATATTTGAAATTGTGTTCAACATCTGCTCATCTGCTTTAGAATAAAGTATATCCATTTTGGAGAACATGATTATACTCATGGTACATTCAAAGCCACGGTATACCACGGCATGTTATATCAGGGTGCATTGTATTCATAATCCCAACCAAGTGTGAAGCACACAGTGTTAGTCATCTCACTTTATAAGCAATTAATTCTATAATTAATGGATGGGAATTAATCAGGAGTGTCTGTAAGGCAGGCTTTGGTATGAGCTGCCACAAGAGTGATTAGGCATCACCTCTGGTAGTGATGCTGCAGTCCATGATCGATCAGCCACTGCCGGAGGATGAGACGCTGCTGAAGAAGAAGTGCTGCTCTCTGGAGGCGTTCTTCATCATGTGCAGGGAGCTCTGGAAGATCCTCAAACTGTGCACAGTTCACCAGGCTCGAGATACCTGCAACAAATGCAGACTGAATATGAGGCCATGCATATTATGTGTACATGTGGGGTTGGCACAATAACAGGCTTCCTGGAATGGAATTTCATGCCACTGATACATATAATCACTGACACATTCTCATATAATGTGCTTCACATACATGACACTTAATATTTATTAGCTGTAAAGTACCCAGCAACTGAGCTGGCTCCAGAATGACCCAAGTGCTCACTCAGCTTCCTATACAATGGGTATCATAAGGTCTTTCCCTGGTAGGAAATCTGTAGCTAAGCCAGTGAATAATATTTATATTATTAATGAATGTAAAAAAATCAAAATGACCTAGTAGGTTCATTATGTCTGTTCATCCATATGCATGCAAGAGAGCCCAAACTTTACTGAATTGATTGAATTTAGTAGTGTCATGGCAATGCACTCAATTCTGACACTGTGATTTGGTTTAGGCCATTTGAAGGGTCACAATATTTGCACATGCATCTTCCAAGTCTTTAAGAGATCTGGAAGATCTTTATTTAGATACAGAGTATGAATATTAAAATCCAAATCTTAATTTATTGAAATTCAAAGGCCACTCTATCTAAAGGTCTAACTGAAATTTGTTATAATCAACAGGCAATTCTGAAACATTCTGATGATATTCCATACACAGCATGTTCATAACTATTACAAGACATAACCCATTAAGAGAGTGCACAGACAGCACTCTCTAACCTCCTATTACTCTGTGTTGTGACTTCTGTTCACCCAATTTGCAACACATTGCATATAGCTGACAGACATTATGTATAATTGAAACCAACCTTTTTATTCCACCCCCTGAGTGTACTACTTGTTTTGCCCATTAAAAAGAAGAAGAAAAAAGAAAGGCAATGTCACAAGTAATTTTTATGGAAAAGCGACAATATTTGATTTAAGCTTCTTGTAAAGTAGGAGTTATACAGTATCTGAACAATATAAACACCAAATTAAAATTCGCACAACTGTTACTGTAGGCTAACAATGTCAAATTTTATCAAAATCAGATGAGTAGTTTCAAAGATGATACAAGAGGACAGGCAAACTGGGACGTCTCTATTACATATTCAGTTATGTACTTTGTGGAAAGAATCTATAATGATAGGTATTAAACCAACTAGACCTGGGTCCTCTCTTTTTAACTGTTAGGTTTACTTTCTGCTGGGCCATTGCATACATTTCTTAGGTTTATGTTTTTGTAACCATATACAAATTACTGTTCATCTCTAGCTCCTTCAACCATATGCAGGGCTTGAGGTAGGGCGGGATGGCATCCTGGTTCTTTTCTAAATGGCTTAAAAGCATCCTGTTACTTCTTTGGCAGTAAATGCAATGTACAATTATGTCTATGAATTAAAAGGGGAAAACCATCCCGGTTCTATTTTCATTCCACCTCAAGCACTGACCATATGTACAATTACATTTCACCTCTGACCGTTCCATTAATAATTCCATCTGAAACAAGGGCTCAGGTTAGAGTAATATCAAATTCCTAACCATGGGCTACATCAAAATGTTTTTTTAATATAAAGGGCCGAAAATCTGGTTTACAATCAAATATACATGAGGTACTAATATAAGCAACAATTCTAAATACTATAACATGTTAGAAAACTATCCCTGCTCCTGATTTGCCGACACATGTAGATTTCAGCAATATGTTACATAAACGCTGGTGTTTGTAAATCTAAGTATGGAGCTGAACATAGTAAAGGTGTGACTAGGACATCACCTATGCACACAAGAACCATAATCACACAGTCATACTGAACAGATTGGTTTAGTGCGAATGCTTCACTCTTGTATTCGGGTGCTTGATTCGAATCTCAGCCACGCATTTCCTATCCTGATTGAGGTCTTTGTGCTTTTCCTCAGTCCCTCCATAAAAGTATAGGAATAGTATCTCGAGGCCATGACCCCTTTCTTCCAAGTCATCATTTACCTATCATCCTACTATCTGATGCTACATGTATCAATACTGAAAAAGCGTCGTTAAATAAGAGATGGAAAAGAAACACAATCATTGATCTGTGTTAGTGTTGTGCCAAAAGTGACACTTTTGCAAAGCGCCTAAAGTTCAATTCCCGGAGATGAGGGCCACTTGTTCAAGATGGTACTGAAATGTAAGAATTCGCAGAGCAAAAAATTAAACCTATTCTTGTTAAAGAGATACATTCGGGCTAGGCTTCTACATGTGAGAAGAACGGTTCCCTAGAACCACGCCTATTCCACCTTGCAGTGAGCACTTAGGCTATCGGGTCACGTGAGACTCGCGGTATCATTTTGAAACTTTCTCGAGTTCCCTTGTGCGTTCCGTGTGTTCTTATTGATTGAAATGCGAGTGATTGTGCGATGAAGGCTAACTGCCACAGTCACGTGAGGCCCGTCAGGCTATCACGCTCGAAGCAACGATAAGAGGCACGGCAGTCAAACAAACAAACAAACAAACTCCGTGGTATTAATCCGCAAGCGAACTATACCGACCAAGGGACCGCCGCTTGTCGGCGAAGTTAGTGGCAACTTTTAGCTGATAGAGGGTGTTGTGTGGTCAGAGCAACGAATTCCCACGGCCGTTAATTTCGGTTTTCTAGACCGAAGCCGCAATTTCCTTGAAATAGCTCCTCAATTATCCTCACGAGGCTGAGTGGACCCCGTTCCAGACCCACTATTTCTCAGAACAAATTTGGTAGTGCCGGGAATCGAAACCGGACCTCTGGATCTGTAGCCAGGAACTCTGACCACTAGACCACAGAGGCGGTCAAGTCGCACAGCTTAATTAAGCATTATATCATGAAGACGCATGACGGAATGGAGGTACAGTTCCATGCCTACTTAATCTCAGCACTATATAGAAGCGAGCGATCAACTTCACGCCAGGATAGCTTTAGGTCCGTGGACACAGGTCCGGTGCCCACTGGACAGGGAATAGTTGGGCCGCTTTTTCGGTTTCTTGATCTATATACAGTCGGTAGGACTCCTTCGACAGGGGTTCAGCTCGTCGCAAGGCCGCTACCTACACACAGAAAACAGAATAAGCACACACAGACATCCATGCCTTGAGTGGGATTCGAAAACAAATCCCAGCGTTCAAGCGAACGAAGACAGCTCATGCCTTAGACCGTGTGGCCACTGTGAAGAGCTAACTGATATATATATATTGTACACTGAGTGGATGGTTCTTACGCTGTTTCCACTACACAAATCTGCAGGGTTTGAGGTTCTCACAACGCTGGTTATGAAGAGTTCTGTCTTCTGATATACAATGCCGCGTAGTCCGTTGAAAGTGAACCGACGTTTCGGAGGAACATATGGAAGACTGAGGTGACTTGTTCTTCCGAAACGTCTGTTGACTTTCAGCGGACTGCACGGCGTCACATTTCGGAAAACAGAACTTTTCAAAGGGTCATTTTGTGCGATTAAGAAAAAGAATGGAAGGAAAGAAACCAAATAGAGGGGCCAGAAAGTGAGGAGGAAAGACAATGAGAGACCAGAAGAAAAAAAGGGGAAAAAATAAACAGCAAATAAATAAACAGAAGAATCGAAAAGAAGGAAAGGAGCAAAGAAGAGAGAGATCGGGTTTATTGCATCCTAACTGACCGCCCCTTGTGCATATACAACTGTGCTAAAGGGGAGAAGTCGGAGTGAAACCAAACATCCAGCTGGTTTTGGAATTTACGAAGAGAACGTTTCGTTGCCTTCACAGGTTCATTTAAATGTGCGATATTTAATGCGGATAATGGGGTTTGCTGCAGGTCACGGTAGCCGAGCGGTCTAAGGCATGTACTGTGTTCGCTCGCTTGGAAACCGGGATTGTGGGTTCGAATCCCACTCAGGGCACGGATGTTTAGTTTGTGTGTGAGCGTTTTTCTGTGTTTGTGTACAGGTAGAGGACTTGCGACGAGCTGATCACCCGCCCAAGGAGTCCTACCGAATGTGTAAGATCTAGAAAAACCTAAGTGAACGGAGAAGTTCATGGAGGTAGGCCTAGGCACTGGGGCTGTAGTGCCAAGGAAAAAAAATGGGGTTTACTGAATCGGGAGTAAGCATTCGATACACAGGCAAACACATCTAATTAGAGCGCCTGCAAGTGTACGTTTAGACTTCACGCCACACATTACTGAAAGAGAAGTTGCCGAAGCTGTGGTCTTCTTTGTAAACACGACCGGATTTTGTACGATATTCAATATCCAAAATTTTTTATGAATTCGCCAGATAAATCATATATACTATATATATATATATAATGTGCTGCAGCGTGTAGACCCGTTGCTGGGTAACGGTCACGATACGACGCCCGTTGCTGGGGCAGCAGATTCTTAATAAACGGTATCATGCAACCCGTTTCTGGGCAACAGTATGGTAAACACGTTCCCGTGGAAACGAATACGCACGCAACAATAGAAGAACGGTGTTTCTATGTGGTTCGTTATAAGTTATAACCAGGCCAGTTAGAACAATGAGTCGGTTTAGTTCTGCAAGGAAGGCTGGGAAGAGATGGCGCTATGGTTCGGTTGACAGTTGAGTTCTGCACGGGAAGCTGTAAGACAAGACCTGAGCGCGTAATCTCCACTGTTAAAGCCGTTGCCAGGAAACCGCTGATGAAGACTCAGCAGGTTGGAGAAGGCTTAGGGGGTGCTGTGGTGATTTGTGAATTGTGGAGATTGGCGGTGGCGCTGAATTATTTGTACTTACGAGTCATGTGCGTATAACTGGTCAATAAATCCATTCACCAATCCAGAACCCGTTTATAGCCACACAGAAATAGTGACAATATACGTAATAACGGTTACTATAATTAGTTGAATTCTTAGCTTATGTAACTTTGATCCTATTACATTTTTAGAATAGTATATTATCAGTCACGTAGATATCACAAGACGGAAAAAGTGGAAAGGTGCTCTTAAATTTTAAGTACCACAATTTCCCGTGTGGCGTTTTGACATACTCAACGCACTGTGGCCGGCAACAACGACTCTCGG